ATAATTAAAACACAACAGAATACACAGATCTTCAGTGTTTATAGTGTATTAAAATCATATACCTGTTTAAGTGTCACTTGAACACTAGAGACTATTATTCAGTGGCACAGAAGGTTCACTCGGGTCCTTTCCAATCAAGTCCCCCTCCATCCTTGCCATATTTCTATCAATATAATTCTACTTCATACGAATGGAATCACAGTGACTGTTTTTGTCTGGCTTCTTTTTCCTAACATAGTATTTCCAAGATTCATCTGTGTCACATGTATCGATGGCTCCCTCCCTCCCTCCCTCTCCCACTGCTGAACAGTGTTCTACTGTATGAATATACCACAATTTGTTTATTCATTCTCTCACTGATGACCATCTGGACCATTTCTAAGTTTTAGTTACCATGAATAAAACTGGTATGAACGTACCTGTCCACATCTTTTTGTGTATGTACATTTTTATTTCTCTTGGGTAAATGGCTAGGTCTGAAATTGCTGAGTCATACAGAAAATGTATGCTTAAATCAATTTTTTAAAAATTCACAAAACTGCCCAAAGTTTTCCCAAGTGTTTTTGCCATTTTAATACTCCCACCAGCAAAGAATGAGAACTGTGGTTTCTCCACATCTTTTCGGACAACTGCAATTGTCAATCATTTTTATTTTCTTCATTCAAATGATTTTCATTTGCATTTCCCATTCAACTAATGATGCAATATTGCTTTTCATGTGCTAGTTGGCCATTCTTATATCTTTCTTTGAACTAAGTCTTTTGCCTATTTTTATAAATTCTCTATATGGTGTCTTAAGCTATGCAGAGCTTTTATATTTTTATATAATTCATCAATTTTTATATTTTATTTTCTTGCTTCCTAAGAAAAATCAGAAGAGCCACAAATAGGAATCCTTAATGAAACCATGAGGGATAGTTTGGTAATTATACACTGAAATGAGCAAGGTCAATACTGGTTTAGATACAAATATCCTGAAAGTTAGATATTCAATAGTATATGGTTTATTCACACACAATGAATGCTCAACTATATACATCCATAAGTTCATTATGTGGTTGAAAACAGGAAAGAACTGACAGCATTTGGGATGAGCTTACCAAACTGTGAGGTGATAAAAAATAAGTAGTGGTCATAGCATGGCGGAAACTGTAACATCCCAGATTATCCTGAAAGCTATCCTTTTTGTGGGAAATTTCTCTGATACAATTTTTAATCAAGCTCCAACTTTAAGATGGTTAACTTTGTAAATTTGACACAAGGACAAAATATAAAAATCTACCTTCTAGAACTCTTGGACATTTTATACTGTGGCAGGTCAGTCAGACAATAATTAACTTTAATTGGCTCTCCTGCAAGCTTCACTGCTTCCTACCTATAGCTAAGTGGCACTCAAAAAGCCAAATAATGTTTCCTTATCTTTGAAAGCATCAAAGGAAAATCAAAGAAACCGAACCGTTAAAAGGTAAATGAACCCCAGTTGGAATGAGCAAGAAGAAAAACTCAGTAGCTCCAGTTAGAAACAATTTTGGAAGACTATGAACCATGTGTTAATTACTCAAATAAGCAACAATCAATAAACAAATACCAAAATACCACATACACTAGAACTCTCAAGCATTCTCACTTGATATATTATGATACAAGGAAAGAAACAAGCTATCATTCTGGCAGTATCTTCAATTATCTAACTAACAGGGTACAATTAATATTTCGTATAACATGCAGGTCATATTAGATTCTTAATGGATTATATTAAGGAAGAAAGTTCAATGCTAATGTTCCTGTAGGGGAAAATAGTACATCTGTTATCCCATAAAAAAGGGATCATGAATTTGGGAGCTTAGGGCCATGAACTGAAAGTAACAGACAGGTTTTGATCATTTACATGTTACACACAAAAAGACTACATTAAACGAGACACAGTGCCATCACCAAAAAACCCCAACTGCACAGTGGGGAAGAGAAGGGAATTCTAAATCACACATCTGTGGTAGGATGAGGCTAATCTCACTGTAGCTTCATGGCTTATTTTATCACTTAAGATTTCTTCACACACTATACTGAAGGAAAAAATAAACTTCCACAGCGATCCACTTGGCCCTGTGACCAAATGCAGGAGTTTATGAGGTGGTGGAGTTGTATCTGTACTGTTGTTTTTGCAGGAATAGATAATACTGCCTGTCTCTTGTTTATGGCCTTGCTCCTCCCCTGAATAGTCCTTTACTCCAATGAGCTTTTCCATCCTGCCCTGTTCAAGATACCACGGAGTTAAGTGGAATGTTGTGGGAACAGTCAGGAAGTACAGAAATATATGGACTGAAATCTAACTCTCAGTGTTTCTCTGCATTTACTTCTACTTCCTTAGAAAGCACTATATAGAATAAGAACAGAAATCCAATACAAGTAATAAAAAAAGTATACACCTGGACAGATCTGATTAAAAGTATAAACCCAGTTCCAATCTGGGGGGAAACAAAACAAACAAACAAACTTAATTATCTAGAGTTTCTTTACAAATGTAACCAATTGTAAATGATTATCATAAGAAATACTGTCAATTATTAGTATATTCTGAAACAGATCTTACTTTTCTTACAGGTAATTTGATATGAGAAGGAAAATCAATCATCCAATTAACTAATCAACCAAAAAACCACCATCCAGATTCACAGATTGAAAGCTAGGTCTTTTCTACATACCGCTGAGAAATACAGAAGAAATCACAACATCATCTAAAACATACTAAAATGTAACTAGGTCTTCAAGTTGACTAAAACAACTTAAAACCTTTATTTTTCTTTACATGAGAATTATTGACAACTTTCTTTTCATAACTTTTAAATCTTCTCAGCTTGCATTCTCTAAAGAGGGTGACAGTTACAATTTAAATTTTATCGATAGAAGGTATAATATAGTAAGTCAAAGACATAATAAATAAACTGCCTGAAATTGGGGGTTCTAAATAATCAAGTCTAGGTTAGGTTTCAGTTTAATTGTGTATTTGTCATTAGCTTCACATACAAAGTATATTCTTAAGCACAAACACTGTTCTTCAATTTCAAAATTAAAATCCTCCACACTACAGAGGACACATGAAATACTATAAAGCTGATGTAGGTGTGTCAGGTTTAAAAAACAAAAACCAATGAATAACCTGCAACTTCTAAAAATGCAATTGTAATCAAGATCTTATGCACAAAGGGTACAGGTATATTTATTTTATCTAGAATTTTGCCTCTTCAATTATTCTCTTACTGAATAATCAAGATGTTACTTGGCTCCAAAAGACCATAGGGAATAAAATGTCACCACTGCAGCTGCTATATTTCCTGCTCACAGCCCTTCAAATTAAAAAAGGGGGAAGAAAGGCCCAAAACAAATGCAGAATTTAATTAGTAAAAGCCCAAATCTTTGCCTGAAGCCCTGTTCTTCCCATAAAATCACATTCTTTTCTTCTTGTGTAAACTTTTCATTATGAAGGAGACATCTTTATAATACAATAACTCTAGTTATAATGTAACTGCTGGTAACCTAACACCTGCACTAGAAAAGGCAGCATGTTCAAGTAATGTTTAAATACAATTTGTGTTCAGCACAAATCAAGTCAACTCGGTCATTTAAAATTTGATCAAGGTGAATTAGTGTCTTACTGAGGTAAACCATTTGATCACTTCAAAATTGATCAATGAGAATCAGAGATAAAACATTCATCATGTACATTTGGTATATCAGATCCATTCACGCAACACTAAAATAGGTTATAAGTAGACATCAATAAGTGTTAGAGATGATGTGCAGATACAAATACATGCACAACAGTATATAATGTTAATCCTTTTGATAAGGCAAGTTATTCTATAAGGCAGCTGGAGTCACTGAAAAATTGCAAGACTCAACTTCAGAGAAACTAGAAAACATAGCACAGTGAAACTGTCTAGCTCAAACTTTTGAAAGAACTTTTAATTAAAAGTTTAGGTAAAAAGCTAACATAAATTTACCTGATTACACTTCTAGAAGAGATTTAAGACTATTAATCAGAGTAAACTTTGTACTTGTGGTACAATTAGTTCTATTAATCTAATATTTCCAAATTGAAGTCACATTGACATTTGGGCGCACTGGCTTGTGCATCTAACAGAATTATAAATTTGCCAGTCAAAATCTTATTTAATTATTTTACAGACAATTAAGCAGGATCTTTAAGCACTACTGCTTACAACTGTCCATGATCTATGCTGTAATTATAGTGAACAGGAGAAACACCTGCACACAGCCCTGGTACACGTCGTCCTCAGCTTCACAAACTTGCTCACAGTACAGCTATTAAAACCTTACACCCCTCCAAGGCATTAAACAAGGCTACCAACTGAAACCTGGAAAAAAAGGATATTTTAAAGTTAAAAAAAAAAAAACCTTTGAATACACAGCAATACTTACAGAATGTATTTTATTGGCACAAGTTTTACACAGCATTCCCCAGATACTCTCAAACCACCTAAATGATTCCTACAGGGTAGTTATCTTCTAATACTTTATAAACATGACCCAAGCTTCTTCCCATGAGCCTAAGTAAGTCAGGTTTCAACAACTTCATTTAAGGGCAAAAGTGAAAACTCCTCCGAGAATTTGACACACAAAGGACTCCAGCCTGTATTCACGTACAATTTCATAAAATCATACCTTTTAAAAGTGTTTCATCTTTTAACAAAACTGAAGCCAAGTTGGGATCTCCACCAAAACCACTCCCAAAATATTTTCAGGGAGCTACATGACTTTCCAAACATTTTTATTTTTTAAATGGAAAGTAGAAATTGGTCACTTCACTACCTAAAGGCCAGCACAGGAACAAAATATCTTTAAAACACTTTTCTTATGCTTCATATTAAATTGTCCTTACAATGTTTATGTTAAAAATTTGTTGGTATACTTTAAAAATACTTCATGTGTGCATCAACATTTTTGTAACATTTTCTTTCCATAGATGTGGTATTATCACTTCCAATCCACCTAGAAAGATCTGAGGCTGATGTTCATGGGAAACAGCATCCCTGAAGTACTCTGACTACCTTGCTGCTTGCCACACACCTTGTGCACACCGTACCATCACAAGTGCTTCATGTGCTTGCAATCCTGGTAAGACTATGTGCTCCCCGGGAGTCAACATTCTGCCTAATGTTCTATTTGGGATTTTAAGAAACAAATACAAGAATTTCTCCCATGGCACAGTTTCATAACTTGAATTAAATTTATCAAATCTAACATACATTGAACATTTACCTTGTGATAACCTTTTCACATATGTAACCTTTTCTCTTTTTTGGCAGTGCTAGGGATCGGATTCAGAGCTTCATGTATGCTAAGCATGTGCTGTACCGATGAGTGACACTTCCAGCCCCATGTAAATTATTTAATATAATATTTTAATTAATTACGTACAAGGTGGACTATAAGGATTAATGCAGAACAATTTTTTTTCAGATGAACTGTAATACAGTATCAACATTATGTAATTAAGAACCAGCACCATAATTTGCTCTATTAGTAGATAATAAGGGGTGACAGATGTGATATGAAGTGCTTATAATGATTATTTTACTAGGATTGGAAAAAAAGAGGCATTTCTTTTGAGTAATAGCTAGATGTAAAAAAAATGGTGAATATATTAAGTGATTTACACTTCATGGTTGAAATTTTAAAGCTGTTATGGGAACAGACTTCTGTAGGAAGGGCCTGGGATTTAGCCCAGTGGTGCTGCTGGCCTGCCTCACAAGTGCAAGGTCCTGAGTTCGATCTCCAGTACCAAAATAAATAAATAAAGTTCTGCAGGAAAGTAAACAGCATAAAGTCACTGACTTCAAGTCCTTTAATTCTTGGTTAGATAGTTATAGATAATATTTTAAATAATATTACAGATGCAATTGTAAAATTTCAGCTTTTAAAAAAGATATTCATTTTAAAAGTTTGTCTTCCTTTTTTGTTCTTCTGTGGTAAACTCTAAATGCTAGGTTGGTAAGACCCTGCCTGTCTACTTCATAAAAGAATAGTCAGAATGCAACAGGAAGCACATCTCATAGGAGCTTCAATGATGAATGACGTAGATAAAGTAGGGGGAAAAAAATCCTTTAATTCTAAAATGTTTAAATGGTCTACTGTCAGAACTGTAAACTAAGGGACTGAGGTATGAGTTACTATTTTAAGAATCCTTAAAATAATTCCATTAGCTCTTCTGGTAGGCTGTGCTGATGCTACTGGTGTTAGTCATGTGCAGTGTCAAATGTTCTTGGCCATTTTTTTTCTTTATAGGGCTTTTGTGTGACCTTCTATCAGGTATATAATATTGCTCTTGAAATTACAGTTTTAAAAGCTTCCATCTTCTGTAGCCAATATGCATCCAAATGAACCCCAGTGCAGATAAAATTAACTAAATCCTCTTCAAAGTCCTTCAGTTTGTTGCCTAAAAGGGATGGCTGAGTACAGGTTCAAGATGGTCAGTGACCTTCAAGGTGCAAGTGCAAATCTGCTTGTCAGACAAGATATTATGAAAATAACTGGGCCAGGCAATACAGCTTTGTCATGCAATAGAAAAAATATAGCATATTGCTTTATATAATCACCTGTGCTGGTCAAATTTCTAAGCAGAAATACATCTACCAAATAATCTCTGCTTTCAAAGGTGGTAAGAACCCCTTGTGGCCAACATGCCATCACTTTCTAGATATGAAGCTAAAAGACTCATTGAAAATGAAAATATGTTCTAAGAAGTTTAGTAGGCAGCAACTAGGGGGAAAAAGGATATATAGGTATAAAGTAGCTGCCCTCTAAAATACTAGGTTTTGGTCTCCCCCCTTCTCCCTTGCCCCCTTTTCCTTGTGGTGCTGAAGGTAGAACCTGGGACCTTGTACACGCTAGGCAAGCCACTCTATCAGCGACCTATATCTCCAGCCCAACATGCTAATTCTTAGCATTCCTTCATGGTGTGTGTGTGTGTGAAACCAGCGGTTTTGTTTGTATTGTAGTCAATGTCTAAGGGCACAGTCTCTGGGAGTATCCTCGCTTTTGACAGAAAAATCAAGTGTAGGAGGATTCACATACCACTCTAAGGTTCAATACAATGCTACAATGTCTGACAAGATGCACTGAGAGCTATTAACTCAGTTGTCTTCAAAGAGGGAAATGACATAAAATCAGGCAAAAGAAAAAATGTACAGTCTGGGAGAGTTTTAACTGCAGAGGCTCCTTTTGTCCCCAGGACCCATTACCCTCCTGGTATCGATGTGTGATAATACACACAGAGTATTACCAACTAGGGGCAATTACCAGTGCTTTAGAGTGGGGTTCTATTGAAGCCACATTATACAGTTCAATTGATTGATTGCCCGTGAGTCAATTAGTCCCCAGCACTCCTGCCCTATGCCCCACTGATAGACACCACACTGGCTAAGGGGCTTACCAGGAGTAACAATTTCTATCATCAAAGAAATTTTAAGGGCTTAGAAGGTTACCTTGCAGTGGCCTCGTACAAAGCCCAGACTCTTCTTTGGTAAGGCCAAATCCTTACTATACACTTTGGCCATATGAAAATAGAATCACATAGAGAGAGAATGACGCTGCTGAGATTGTGTATGAGACAAAGCCTAACCTACAGATCCATGTTGTCTTCAGAAAGTTAAATCAACTTTTTTTTTTTTGTGCTTCACAGTCTATTGTTCTCCATTGACATAACACTGCAACTTCACAAGGCTAACAGGGAGATTTTTCTCATATAACACTAGACTTCTTTATCTATAAAGTTCAGCTTCCATCAATTTTTCAATCTCCTATACTCACAGTTTTGGTTCTTTTGACCCTTCTATCCAAACACTATGAGTTGAATGGTGCCCTCCCATCATGCCCATTTATGTACTGATGCCCAGTATTTCAAAATATGACTGGATTTGGAGAGTCTTTTTAAAAGGTAATTAAGTTAAAATGAGATCATTAAGGTGGGCTGTAACCCAATATGAGACTGATATCATTTTATTACTGTTTAAGATTAGGACACAGGAAAACACAAAGGGAAGGCACACAGGGTGAAGACAGCCATCTACAGGCCACGGAGAGGGGCCTCACAAGAACCCAACCCTGCCAACAACGGGATCTCAGACTTCTAGCCTCCAGAACTATAAAAAAAATAAATTTGTTATTTAGGTCACCCAGTTTGTGGTACAATGAAGCCCTGCCAAACAAGTACATTAATCAATCGTTAATCGTTCAATGAGTATTTTACTTTGATCCATCAATTATAGAACATTTTTTCTTTTGCACTTGAGGGGACCTCCCATCTTGTACTTCTGGTTGTTTCTCATGTTTCCAACCAAATCTCACATCTACTTTCAGATTACTTTTGCTACAGGAACACAGATATTAGAGTGCTCAGCTAGTCAAACACTGTCTAATAACATCCTGTTACCTGATGATCAACTTCCCAGTCTACCACCTAATTACCCTACTGACCTCTCCTACTTTATTCTGCAATAATCTCCCAGAGTCACACCACTGATCTTCACTAAAGTTATCGTCTAACTAGAGAGTTTGATTTTTCTCCTAAATATCTTTTCCTTCAACTTATTCAATATCTTTTTAAGCCTCAATCAAAATCACTGTCTTTATAAAAACTCCATAGATCCCTGTAGTTTAAAGTGATCTCTGATTTATCTTAAATTATACTTATTTTCATAGTTAGCATCTTATAATGAAGATATAGTACTAAGTCAAAAATTCTCATAGTACAAAAGTTTTATAGGGAAAAATACACACCTTGAAATACATATAAATTGAGGGTACATTTTAATATCCTATGTACCATCAATTCTTTAAATTCTTAAGACCTCATGTTAACTTTAAAGAGGGAGATCTGTGACCCACTCTTACAGCATCTCTCTCTACTTCAAGTGATACTTTAAGAAAACCTGATGATTTTCATTTATTTAAACAAAATTCAATCCACCTTTTTAAAAAATCTTATTTTAATCAACATTAAACTAATACTAATAGCCACTACAACACAAATTGCACTGTAGTAGAAACTAATAACTCTACCTTAGGGTTTAATAATTTTATCAAATGCTTATAAATATACAAGGAAAGAGGTCAGAGCCTAATGCAACCTTTCAAATAAACCTGTCACAACACCTTGTTTTTTTTTTGTTTTTGTTTTTTTTTTGCTGCACTAATTTGAACTTGTGGTACTAAGAGGGATTATACAATGAAATCATTTATATTTGGGAAAATTCTGAATGGTGTCTTCTTACCTAATATGAGAACATACAAGGCTGTGAGTCATGGACACTTTCTTTGAACCATCAATTATAGAACATTCATTTAAATATCCCAAGGATTACTAGAGGTAGCAATTTAACATCATTTTCATAATCAAGAGCAAGGTAAAGTCTATGATTTAAATGCTTTCAAGGTACACGTGAAGAAATAAAAATAGTTTAAACACAAGTAAGGTAGATATCCAAATTTGGACAAGCCCATCATTTCATTATACGAAAGTGAATAGTTTCCATTAATAGAGGTAGCAATTTAACATCATCTTCATAATCAAGAGCACTCTACCTTATATATTATTCCAAAAGAAAAATCTATTACTATTGCTTTCAATTTTCCCTTAGTTCAAAAAACAGAGTTGCAGTGTGCTTTCAACAAATGCCCCTTTGTTTTATCTGAGTTCTGGAACAGCAAATAACGTGGTCCTATCTCAGCCACTCTAAAATACTTCCAAGTATTCCAGGGTGCTATGTAGCAATCATCTGTTCAGAAAGCAACAAAACTGGGTTTTCTTTTGGGTAAGGATAGTCTGATTATAACAGTATTAAAAACTTACTTGAACTTTGCTTCTACTTCTTCAGCAGCTTTCTGATACTGCTCAGTAGTAACTTTGTAGAACTCTGAACTCTGTGGATAAAGATTGATAAAGTGTTCACTACCCAAGAAGATAAAAGGTATGGAAAAATTGCAATTTCAAAATATATATTTTCAGTCACACACAGTAGGAATTTTTCGTGACAAAGTAACATGAAAAACATGCAAGATTATTCATTTAAGTAACAGCACCACTGCAGATACATAAATCATAATTATAAACTTTCATAGTTATAATTCATCATTTGGTCCTTTTGAGAAAACTACAAACTTTTTACTTAGAGCTACTATCTGTAATCTACCACTGGGATGCTTGAGATCAATGAAATTCACATGAATTGACATTTGCCAAGTACATCAGAGTTCCAACAATGATATTAAAGGCTTATTTCTATTACATAATATTTTAATTCTCAAACTCCTGTATGGAATAGAACTTGTTCTATCACCTCCACAAGACCAAAAGAGCATCAAAACTTATAATAAATTAATCAGTAAGAACAAAGTAGCAAACGTTCATAATTTTAGTACAAAAAATGTTTGTACCAGTACATGAACAACCAAGTAACATAAACCAAGTTGGAATGGCAAAATTATATATTTTTTAGGGAAGCAAAATTAAAATTTATTTATTCAAACTCACTACCTTGAAGCCAGTCTTATTATATCGATGACCTATATGAAAAAAGCTTTCAGACTCAATGAAATATCCTGCAAAACACATGGCAGTACAAAAGACCACTATACAATACACCGTTCTTTTGGGTGCCTTTATTCCCTAATCACTCAGGTTTTACATACATGACTTGGGGTAGTTTATTTTTTAATAAATCACTATTGGTTGATGAGAAAATGAAAATGAAATTCTCTTCAAATCTCCCACCCCTTTGTATTTAACAATCTGAGTTGCCCAAATGACAGTCACATCCAGGTTTCTAGAATGTAGATAAAATCAATAGGTATGTGATTAGACAGCAGAGTCAGGGTGGCTGGAGCCATGGACAGGTCACCATTTGAGATGATGAATGGCTTTCTATCAACCTGTAGTCCCCTACGATGCTAACATTTACTATAATCTTATTTGGGCTACGATTTATCTTTCTTGCACCTGATCAATAAAGATGAACAGAACAGTTGTAAGGATCGATTGTAATTTTTTATCATTTTCAAGCACAAAGGTGCATTTCTGACATAAAGACAATATTCTAAGTGCACTGCTTCTGCATTTTTAAGAATTGCAATTTGAGTGATCAACTGCCCTAGTCTATATGCTGAGAGCTTTTAATTCATCTGTAAATCTAAAGCTATCAAAAAGCCATTTGTCTTCTCAGATAGTTTTACTTTCAGTTATGTCACACCTCCCTAACTGCTTTACTTACAAGATTTTCTTCCTTTCTAAATACACACCAACCATGACATGTGCTTCCATGTTTAGCCAAGCTTTTCTTTGAACTTCTCTCACAAAGAGGGAAGCAAAAGAGGCAATTAATAATCTAACACTAACAATGATGAGAATCTCCCAAATTATTATTATTTACTCCTAAGTGGACAACATGTTACTGAATTACTTATTAAAATGCTGGCAAAGCAAAAACACCTTGCTTAATACTTTCACTTATTTTAACCAATGAAAGTGTAACATCTGGACAGAACTGAGCTGAAAGATCTGCTTTCTGGTTCTGCTCTGTAACCCTAAGTAAGTATTTCAAACTCCCCTAGAATCATTTCCAGTGTTCTTAACCTCGTCCTGCTAATCTCTACCAAGCTGTGGCAGAAATCAAGCTGTCAAGTATTTTTACAGCATAAGATCAACATCCAAATAAAATAATTGGAAGGAAAATGACTAATTTGGGAATTGCACTATGGGTACAAATTCTCAATGATCATAAGTAAATATAAAGCTTTCAAAAAAGAATGAGGCACAAAAGCAAGAGTTCTGCCATAAATACAAAATTGTAAGAACCCCTCTTTGTAATACCAGATCCAGATAAAATTATGACTAATAGTATCAAAATTTTCCAGGACCCATGATGCCTACAAATTTAGCATGTAATATCAAATTTAAGAGACTTTCACTTCGGGGACCAGTTTACCACATTGCATACATCTTTGTAACAACAATAACAACAAAATTCTCAGGTGTCAACACCATAGAAACACTAAAAGAATAAATACAAATACAATCCAGATATGTAAGTAGGAGCTGTTTAATTCATTTAAGTATTTAGTTCTTCATTCAACATAATTAGATCCTTATTATCCAATAATGTTCATTTTGGGAAAGCAGACCTTCAGGATGTTTTCCCTTTGATATGAAAGAAATAAAAACAAGACCACAAGTACCAAGTTAAAAATTGTGGGTGGTGTCAGTGAAGTTCAGAAAGAACAGAGTTTTCCTCTGGCCTCAGAAACCACTGCTAAAAATGAAAAACTTTCATTCAAACTGAAAAAACTAAAAAACAACTCTCAACATATGTTTCATTGGGGGAATGGATACTTAGGGTTCATACAGAGGAAATCTACACGGTAGAGTAAAAGAATCAAGCTGACACATACATATGGAATAATAACAACAACAACAACAACAACAAAAACCAGAAAGCTGAAAATATATGGTCAGATGCAAGTTATGTCAAGCTTGGAAAGGTGAAAAATAATAAGAATACCGAACACAAATTCCACTCTTTATATCCAAGTCGCACAAGTTCTGTTATGATAGTAAAGAGGACAAAAGGGGCAGAATACCACAAAGAAAAGGAACACAAGGGAGGTTTACTCTATTTTTATGTATATTCCTTAAAATGAGCTATGGGTATGCAGTTAGCTATTACATTGGTTTCATATATTTTATAATACATACAAAAATTTGTTACCCACCCCTGGCCACAAAGGGCTAATTAACAAATGACTTAGTTTGACTACACCATGAAAGTATGTTTAGGGTAGATACATGCTCAAGAGGTTGGCTAATGGAGATTCTATACATTTATGAATACTAAGCCATATGAACACATTACTAAACAAATGTACTTTAACTTTTTCATGTGAAATAATTTTAAGACTTACAGAAAAGGGGCAAAAAAAAAAATAGGGCAGGTTCCCATATATTACCTAGCTCTTGTTAATGTCAACATCTTAAAATAGTATAATCATCAAAAATAGTAACTTAACAATGTTACAACATTAGTAACCAGTAGTTGAAGTGACTGCCATAAACTAATCTACAGAATTTGTCTTTCTCCCACTAATGTTCCTTTTCTGTGCTAGGGCCCAGTCTGTGTTACATAAATCCTATGTACTATTTAATTTTCAGGACTCCTCAATCTTGAGTCTTTTATGACGTTGATATTTCTGAAGAATACTGGTCAGGTGTTTTGTACAATGCCTGGCAATTTGGATTTAATTATTTGATTAATGTGGTTATCAGCAAGGTTTCTCCACAGTAACTCTAGTATTCTTCCTTTTGTAAATGAACTCTTAAGGGAAATACTTGGAGATTATACAAATAACCTGTTTCTTCTCAAAGTTTTGTTAATCACTTTTGTGTATGCATTGATGTCTAAAGCACTAGTTTCTGTGGTGTTTGCATGGTGAAGTTATTTTTAAATATTGTTGCACACTTAAGACTTTATTGATAAAATGACAACCTTCATTCCTTCTTTTACTCAACTATGAAGACTATGTAGCAGCACAGGAAAAGTCTTTTGAAATAAAATCTGCAAAGACTGGATAACTGTTCTTAGGAAAATATAAATTCCCCCACAGCCTCACTAGGAGATAGAAGTGTGAGAAGAGTGGAAAAAGAGGGAAATTTAAAGAACCACAGAAAGACCTACATCTCTGCCAGAGGGGAGTCTGAAGCACTGTAATGAGTTAACTGTCCATAACTGTGTGGATGAGGCAGACTGGCTCCTGCAGGGAGTAGAATTAGGAAGGAGTGAATTGTTTCAGATGTTCTCTCAAGGGCTCCCTGAGCTCATCATGGGTGATTTTAAGAAGCAGCCCCAACTCTTGTCCTACTATTCTGTGTACTACCTGCTTCAGAGTTCTCTCTGGAGTTTAGAAACCTGTGGAGCTCTGGGCCACAACTTTCATCTCTGGGGATGAAACTAAGAAGCTACATTTTGAACTCATGACTCTGAATAAATATTAAATGTGAAAATGACTGGGTTTTTAGAATAAAAGAATAATATAGCATTTAGCTTGCCATTCAAAATGAAAAATAATCAGTATTTTTGAAGAACGACTTCAAATATCACTCTCTATAATTAAATATAGCTATAATCTTTATAAAAGTGTTCCAAATTAGTGCTTTTGCCAGTATTGTCTGCAAATCACTGGTGGACCCCAAACTGATCCAAGAACTCTGGCTTTACACATCGCCTGGTAATGCACAATGTTCCTACCTGAATGAAGAGAAAATACAAGTACAAAAATTTTAAAAAATGCTGCTTCTGTTATCTTTGTTGCCTTAATTCAGTAGTGGGTTGTACATGCAGCTACCTTGCTTATTAATTATAGTTACTATTTTAATGGTGTAAATATATTATTCTAATAACACTATAATTTATAGTAGTACATACTTGTATCAATTGTATTTTGACTACATTATCTAAACTTGGCTCAGATACATAAGATCTGAGTTTCTAATGAGGGTATATGTAAATGTCTTTTGAATTTGGTTGACACACCAAGTCCTCATATTATATGGGGTGAAGGAGAAATCCTTGCTAAATGATATTAAAAAGAGAGCTAAAAAGAACGGGTGAAGTGATATGGTTTATATATAGACGTCCCCCTCCATCCCTAAAATGCCATGTACTCACAGGTGGGGCTTTTGGGAGGTGACTGGATCGCGGGGGTATTAATAGCTAAATGCAACACTGGGAGGTAAAGCCTTGCTGGAAGAGGTGACTCACTGCAGACATGGCTTGGAAGAGTCTCTCTCTCCCTCTCTCCCCCTCTTTCTCTGCTTCCTGCTGCCATTCCATGAGCTTCTCTCTTCTGTGATGCCCTTTAGCCATGCCAACCTG